TGGGGGGCTGGTGAGGGTGGCGAAATTGCTTGCGAAGTCTGCTCTGATCACCATTGCAAGTGGTCGGATAGGACTCCACTCGTAAACCCTATACAACGCAAAAGGAAAGCAAGTTGGGCGCCAAGTAGTTTTGTGGCTCCGAAAGTAATCTTTGCTCAGCGGGGTGATGATCCCAGTAAACTAGGAGGGTAACCACCCGCACGCTTCTATCAAGTGACGGATAGGGAGAAGCTCGGCCAAGGTTATCGACGGCCCCGCCATCACAAAAGCAGCATTCTCAACGGAGTACACACGCACCCACACAAAGCCGCACCGCCGTACGCCGTTTTACCAGCTAGCGCCTCGCACACACTTCGTCTAGCACCCACCCAGCCTTTGAACATGTCCCAACACAATTCAAACTGACAAGAAAGTTGGACGCGCGCCAGCGATAAATGCACGCTGCCAGACGACAACCCGCGAATCTATCATGCATGCGGCATCAGCACAGGTCACTAGCACGCTCTAGAAAGCACAAAAGGGTTCGACCAGAGGCGACCCCGTTCCAGGTCGGTGCTTTCGAGTCTGGCAGTGGCCTGAGCACTGGGCCAGTGGAATCTAGCGCGACCACCAGTGGATGAGGCTCATTGGTTCCGGCGGGAGCTAGACAGTAGTCAAATTAGCAATCGGAAAAGCATAGCCATCCAGCCAGTCAAAAGAGGAGTCAAGAGGGTCAGCACAAAAGCAGCACACTACCGTCAGGCGGTAGCAGCAAGCCAGTAGTTGACTGACGGAATAAACCCTGTTAGCAAGTAAACATGGGGGCGGTGGGGGGGGAATAAGTGCGAGGTGGTGGGACAGCGATGCAGTGGTTGGAAGGACCAGGGGGGAAGGTTGGCCAGCCAAAGGAACCAATTGGCGACCATAAGTTGGGGGGTCCAAAGAAAGCTTTCCCAGTGGGGTTGGACCCAGGGCCCTTGAGGTTACCAGCCGCACGCTTTACCAACTGAGCTATAGGAGAAGCAGGCCAAGCTTACCACCGCACCGCATTGCCAAAACTGCATTTTCAACGAGTACACACGCAACCACACAAAACCGCACCGCCGTACGCCTTCTTACCAGCTAGCGCCTCGCACACACCTCGTCTAGCACCCACCCAGCCTTTGAACATGTCCAACACAATTCAAACTGACAAGAAAGTTGGACGCGCGCCAGCGATAAATGCACGCTGCCAAACGATCTACCGCGAATCTATCATGCATG